AGAAGATTCCCACGGCGATGTGGGAACTTCATTCCAGTAATTAGGGGAGAGAGAAAGTAGATAGCCTTAATACCTAGTGAACTAGGTTCATCTAAGTCAGAAACTAAGGTCATGAATTAAGAAGACAGGATAATAATGAAGGTGGTGGATTTACGGCTAGTTAGCGGGGGTGAAACTAGTGATATACTTTGTGACCAGGGTCACGAAAGCCGCGGTTAAAAAGAGGAATAGCGAGAGAATTTTGATCCAGCTCATCAAAATAGTGGAGAAGGTACTGTGTAGGTTTAAAACGTAAAGCTAGAACAAGGTCTACTGAGACGGTATCTGGACAAGAGACATCAGGAGGGAGGACGTGAAGCCGGGTGAGATAACTACGGGCGAGTGTCAAAAGGTACTCATCAATACGAGTGATCTTGGCATTGTCATACAGAGTGGAGATAGAGAAGTGCTTGCCTTTAGGCTTGCGCTTATAGTTGGTGCAATCACGGAGAAGTTTCCACTCAAACAGGCGGATTGTTTCCATCTGAGCAGAAGTGATGACAGACCAAATAGGGAAGGCATAAGTGAGGAGAGGACGAATAAGCTGCTTATAGCAGATTAACAACTTTGCACTTAAGTTGGTTGTGTCTTCGAAGTGCAATTTTGAGTTGAGTGTGCCTGAACCGGGCGTTACGGATGGCATAGTCAACATGTGATATAAAATTGTGTTGAGATGAGAAGACAATACCAAGATATTTCAGCTTGGGGACAAGCTAAATTGGAGAGTTGTTAAGCTTAAGCTTAATATTAGAGGTGCTAAAACCTCTAGGACGATCACGCTGCTGGCCAAGAAAGGTAATGGCAGAGATCTTAGAGGGGTTGAGTTTAATCTTCCACCTGGTGTAATAGTCGAAGAGGGATCCAAGGTGGGGATTAAGCTCATTGGAAAGGCGGTGAGCATTAAATGACCGCATGAAGACAAGGCAGTCATCGGCGAGGCAGATTTGCTTAACAGGGGCCCACGAGAAAGGAATGTCTGCTATAAACAGGTTAAATAGGAGGGGTCCTAGAACCGAACCTTGAGGGACACCGGCGTCGATGGGAAAATCACAGGACAGAGAGGAACCGACTCGAACCTGAAAGGTCCTGTTGAACAGAAATTTGTGGACCACACTGCAGAGCGCAGGGGAGAAGCCGAACTGATGAGTATGCTAGAATATTAATGAATTATTTATAGTACATAAGAAATTTGAAACATTGTTAGTACATAAGTTTTAAACGGTATAAATACCGGAATATTTTGCCTAATAAACCAGATTTAATTCTTAGATCAAAGAACGCACTTGTCTTTTTAATGATTGATTGGTCTCAAGTTTTGTACGGCATAATAGCTGATGAGAACAATATCCTATACGGCATAACTGCTGAAAGGATATAATAAGCGGCTGGAGAGCTAACACTGGAAATAAATTCATAAAATATACATATTCGGTATATGCATAACATTACACGGCAATCCTGCTATATAATTAGTAAACATACATTACATGGCGATCCTGCCATATATTTAGTAAACATACATTACAATATGTTTAATCAAATGGCCAGGGTAATGAGAACCAAATGACTCATTTTTGCATACAATATTTCAAGCGCAAATCAGATCCATTGGATCTCATTCTGAATAAATGAGTTCCAACGGGGTTAGAATGAGTTTCAGATATGTTCCAAATGCAAATAAATAGATTAAACATACCCAAAATAAAAGCTTTTCATGGCAGTTTGACAGTGTGAGAAAGCTGTTTTTGACATATTTACAAAGAAAAGGTAAACAAATGTTTGGTGGTAATGTTTCACAAATCCTCATTCGAAAGACTTGATTTATGTGGTCACGGGCATTCAAGCTGGAGTTCAAGTAAAAACCTAAGCATTTTACTGATAATTTATAATCAATTGCGGTACTACCAATATTGTTTGTTATTAATGGACAGAGTTTACTTTTGGTGTTAATAAACTTCCCATTAATTGAGATTGTCCTTTTGCCTTAATCCGAAAACATTTTAAACATTTATTGATACAAGCTTTCACAGCGATTGTTTCACGAATAATCCAAAACTTTCCCGGACGTTGTTTAGCGTTAATTGTAATCCTTCATGAATCGTATTAATATGCGCCTGATTGATTATGAGTTTGTACTTGTCTTATGTAAAATTATCGGATACTTTTAATTGTCAGATAAATCTGCATTTCTTAATCTGGTGCCCACTCTTAGTACCTCTGCACTATCTACAAATGTGTTTAATGAACACAACTTATTACTTTTCATTAATTGTTTCTGAAGATTAAGCCGTCTGATGTCATCTTTAAAACATTTTTGCACTTGCTTCACCAACACAATTTCGGCTGCATCAATATCGTCTGCGTCAGGTAGTCTATCTTTCTCTCGGATTTCTTTACTTGACAATTATAAACGAATCTAACGCAGTAGCTCGAAGAAGTTTGATTAATGAGAAAAATCGGTTAATAAATTCTTCATGGTTGGTAACGTCCACGACGGAACATATCACAGTTTTTCTGGTCTCCGGAATAAGATTCAAGACTATTACTGCATAATTTTCTGTCCAATTTTCTTCATATTTTATTAGTCAAATTGGACTATGCCACCATAATGTTTTTGAAATAAGATTGTCACCATATAATCCCCTTGATGGAATATCTGCTGGATTATCCTTGCCTGGAACAAATATAAAATACCCCTTAAACGTATCTTGAATGTAAGATACTCTGTTTGATACTCCATCTATTTGGGTATTGCTTTAGCCAATTTAATACAATTTTTGAATCTGACCATGCAATAATTTTACTATAGGTAATCTTGTTATTCTTCTGAATGTAATTAATTAACTTTGTTAATTGCACAGATGCACGTACCTCCGATCGGGGCAATGACACCTGCTTAATAAGAGCAACTTTGGTTATGGATGCTATTAGGGATATTGTAACCTTTTCTGCATTTATAACTGCAGCATATCTTGTTTCTGATGCATCTGCAAATACATGTAAATCGATTAAACTATTCTCTGAATGTTGTCTCCATCTTTTCATGGTAATTTTCTGAATTGCAGGCAATCGCAACTTAAATTCTTACTATTGTGCCTGTAGATTAAGTGGGATCTCTGTATGCCAACTAACTCCTAACATCCACAATTTTTGTATGGATGTTTCGACAGTGTTTTTGCAATCTCGATACTAGCTTTTCTTAATATTGAAGTTATTTCGAGTTTTGTTTCTTGTAGTTCATTGAAGAACTAATTTCGAGCTAAACTTGTCTTTTAAGGGCACTAATCAACGAATACGAATAGAACTTGCTTGAATAGCAATAATGCAAACAGCGGCAATAAAAAAATCGTCAATCGCATTGTGGGTGAACCACGAAAGCAGTAGCTGCAAATATAAAAATTGCAAATCCTATCATTGTGGACGTGCAGTCCGTTTGGCTAGCATATGTTTAAAAAAATAATTAAAAGTATTGTAAAAAATACTTTATTTAGTAAATAATTATGATATATATAATTTTTTCATTTGTAGTGTTGATGATAACTCTCATCAGAATTTTACAATAAATTTTGTTAAAGTATTTCTGCATCTCAATTTTGAATTTTTCGTCATATTCCTTTCTTCTTTCTGTGTCGAATAATCGCTTTTGTGCCATTTTATACGATGATGGTAGAGCAGATTGATAGGTTTTCCAGAGCAGCCCGTTTCAAATCGATTTCCAACTAATCCTGTTGTTCCAATATTATTTTAGTACGCTTACCGCTGCAATATACTTTGCCATAATTTCACGCATCCTTTCCTGCAGTTTAATGTTTAACATTTCAGGTCCAACCCTGCACACTCCGCGTGATGCATATGCCACCCAACCCAATTTTGTACGCAAGGTTGCCACTTATGGTACTTTAGTACCAAAATTGGTACTTTTTTTTCGTTTGGTACTCATGTTCAAAAAATGGTACATTTTTGACGACCCAACTTTATTGTGGATATTTCCAATTAATTTTTTTTATATATGCAACTTTGCACTATTTTATATTTCGTTCATTTATAACACTATGAAAAACACAGAACACAGAACCTTCTTTACAGAAATGGAACCTTTTTAAACAAATTTTGATTCAGAAAAAAATTTTCAAGTGGCAACCGTGTTTGTACGTATTGCCACCGGTGACTTTTTTTCTAAAGAAACAGTTTTAATTGACATGGTAAGATGGGCATTATCAATTTCCAACACTAGCAATGGCGTAGAATTCATATATGAGTTGCCGGCGAATGATGGTAAATCATTTAACTTATTCTCCGATTGGGTCAGGTTTATAATACTTTGGCTTAATTAGCCAAGTTTTGGTTTAATGAATCAGTAGGCTGAAAAAGTCAGCGTACTTGCCACTTTCAAAGTGAAATTCGTGGATCATATTAAATGCACGTCCTTTTATACAGAATATGCCGAAGCTTTGATCTTTCTTGTTTGGCCTATTTGTGTTTTTTGTGTGCTTTTTGTGTTTTTTCCGTATACTTTGTGTTTTGTTCAACAAAAGCTTTCATGCTTGGACGTTTCTTGTTGTTTGTAAATGCTTGTTACATTTACTTTGTTACATGTGCACGTTTGTTTTCTTTTTAAATTTAATAAAACTTATTTAGATAAATAAAATTAGTTAATTGAAGAAATTAAAATTTTAATAATAATTTTGTAAGGTTATTTCATTTTTAATATTTCCAATAAAAATATATATTAGTGAATTTAATGTTAGTGAAAATAAATATTAATGAATTTCAATGTATTTTTATGTAGGGGGAAATTTGAAGTAAAAATGTCCGTCCTTACATACCTTATTTTAATTAATAACTGCCAGGCCATAGAGGGAGGTTCCATAACAACAAAATGATAAAAAATTTTTTATTTCAGTTTTTTTTTTATACTTTTATTAATATAAAATCCTTATACTAGTAATTAGAATAGATGACTATTAGCTTAATTTTTTTTAATAGATAATCATGTAATTATGGTTCAACGTATGATTGGATCCCAGCAACTTGGAACTGGTGGATCATCTGGATATCAGTACTTACGATCAACATTAAGGTAATAAACCGAAAATATTTTAAAGAATTTTAGTTAATGTTATACTCCTAATTTCTTAGTGATCGATATAAAGTTTTTTTGGACTTATTTAATTTGTCAACCTTTCTAATACCCCGAGAAGCTATACCACCGCTTGACGCAACAATAAGGAGGGAATTAGTAAACTAATTGAAAGCATTTTAATGATATAAAAATGTTTCTAATTTTCCATAAATTTAAATAATAAGTGGTTCTTTTTTGTTAATTTTATGACTTAATGGTTGAAGATCTTTTTTTTTTATCAAAACATGATTACCAAACAACAAGCAATAAAAAACTTATGCAATCTTTATTCATGTGTAAACGAAAACAAAACACACTTGTAGTTTACTTCTTTCTTTATTTTATTCATAATTTATATTTTATATATTGCTTGGACGTTTCCATTTATTTTTTATTTTTATTTTTTATTTTAAATGCTTTAAGGGGTCAAAAAACCCTTTCATTGCATCATCTTATAACTAACTTAAAAACTAACAAAAAAAGAGATAGTATTTACTTAATATATAACAGTTTACAAATTATTAAATGATAAAGCAAAGACAAGAGATTGAATTAAAAAAAATTAAATTAAATTAAAGAATACAAAAAAAAAAAAAATTTTTAAATTTAAGATTAAAAATTTAGAATAGAAAAATAAACATTACAAGCAGAAAGTTAAACAATGACAATTAAAGAAAAATATCAATTAAAAAATAGAAATAATTGACAGAATGGGTGGTGTCAATATAATTCATTAACTAGCAGTTTTTTAAAAGTTCCTACTCTTGTTGTGTTTCTGGTTTCACATGAGAGCGAATTCCATACTCTGACAGAGTGGATAAAGAAAAAACTTGTTGTGAAAATAAAGTTAAACCTTGGAATAATAAATAGAAGAGATCTATTAGATCGTGTTCGTTGCAGACAATTGAAAAGGTATTCAGGTGATTTAGCATTAACCAATTTAAACAAAAACAGACAGACACGAATCTTAATAAACTGTTCAATGTCACAACCTAAGATTGCATTCCTGAAATTACCCAGGTGATCAAATCTTCTGAGACCGTAAACATATCGTGTCATGGAATTGGTTAGACTTCTTAACTTTGTAAGAGACACAGCGTCTAATTTGGAATAAACTAACGAGGAAAACATAATAATAGGAATTATTAACTGTTTTACCAACAAGCAGCGAGTAGCAACAGGTTGATGATTGATGTGGTCACAAGCATGTAAGTTAGTATTTAGATGGAAACCTAAACACTTTACAGAGGTATTGTATTCAATAAATGATTGCCCAATAGACGCTTGAGGCAAACTATTTACATCCAGTTTTAACCTACTTATTGGCAAAATAGTTGTTTTTTTTGGCATTAAGTAGCATGTTATTTTCAACAGCCCAAGTGTTAATATTATTTAAATCAACATTTATCTTTTGAATTAGATTATCAATAGCGGTGAAATCACAAGAAATGTACATTTGGATGTCATCAGCATACCCATGCAATTTAGTATACTTACAAATTGAAAAGACATCATTTATATAAATTTATATAAATTGAGTTTGGATAGAGACTTACGTAACAGTCGGACGTGTTTTGCACTCGCTCCTATTTAAGTGAAAAAAAGTAAAAAGTATCAAACGTTCAGTGTCGGAAATTAAAAGAAAAAAAACGAATAAGCGGAAGTGAAGGTTGGAACAATAAGTTGCGGTTCGATTTCAAATGCATAAAGTGATTAAATCAAATAATAGTTTTTTACAACTTAAAGCATCCAATTTGCGCGCGTTTTTGCTTTCTTTTTAATAAAATAAATAAGGCGCTCTTTTGTGGATCATATATTAGTAGCCAAATAAGAGTAACTTTTTTTTTTATTTTTAAAAAAAAAAACGTAATAAAAATCTGATGGAGACAGTCCTACAATTAATTATATAAATAAGACAAAAATAGCTAAGCAAATTGTTGACAGAGACAACTAATAAACATTTAATAGTAAAAAATTTGATATATATAGTTTATGTAATGCAAGTAAAATAACATAGAGTAAACAAAATAAATTTAAGTTAGTTGGTACACAAACCATATATTTCGAACTAAGGGTTAATCGTAAATCTATCTGGCAAAATAAAAACATTGCATAGTTTTAAGGTAATTTTACAAATTAGTTAAAAAATAATAACATTTGTCAATTAACAATCATGCATCGTACACCATCAAAAAACGTGAAGACAGCATATAATCCGTCGGCTAAAAGGATGTTAGCAGAAACCTCACCTGAAGACGGACCGAGTTGCTCAAATTATACTCTTAAAATAGGCGACCTTAGTGTAAACCAATTAAAAGATATAATTAAAGATGGTAACAAAGAAGTTTTAGAAAAAATTACCTACCTTTCTGAGGATGTTATGGCGCTAAGGCAAGAAAACGAAAGTCTAAAAAAAGAAGTTGAAAATCTCAAAGCATATAGGGCTTTAGATAGTAAAAGGATTTCTACACTTGAAACACAAGCAAAAAAGAAAAATCTAATTTTCAAAGGTCTACTGTAGGTGCAGTAGGTGAAGAAGTAGAAAAAATTTGCTCTGATATTCTTCAAGTTTCGGCATCAACAAAAATAAAAGATTTTAAAAAAATGTCGGAAAAAGACGGTAAAATGACCATTCTAGTAGAGATAAATACTGAACAAAACGCAGTAGATATACTGAAAAAAGCTGGTAAGCTGGCAGGGACAGCAATATTTGTGGAACGGGACTTGACGTTCGAAAAACAGCAGAATAAAAGAATTATGCTGGAATTAAAAAAGCAAATACTGCAAGTAAGTACGAAACACCGCGTTGCCGTTAGAGACGATAAAATACGGATAGGAAATAAATGGTTTAGGTGGGCAGAAATAACAAGTTAATGAACGATAATGAAGATGCGGGTGCTGCTTTGCAAATTTTATATGGTACTAAGGTAAAAAATATATGTACGAATTATATTGAACTGCACAATAAAATAAATCCAAAAAACTAGTAAATATTTCAGAAAGCTTTTGCACAGTAAAAAAATGCCAAACAACACAGCCAAATAAAATTAAAAAAATTTCTAAAATTAAACATTCCGTAGATTTCAACGACGAGTCAGCATTACAGGGCAGCTTTAATCTGAACATATTATCATATAATGTAGCCGGTCTAAAAAATAAAACCGTACACAGCTAATTTTACGAATATATTTGTTCATTCGATATTATATTTTTATTTGAAACATTTTTAGAAGAAAAATTAGAAGAAGTAGTAAGAAAGTTACATAATTATATTATAGAATGGATACCTGCTAAAAGAACAAATATTTGCGGTAGAGCCAGTGGAGGTGAACTATATGCAATAAAGAAGCAAACACATTTTACAATAAAACTTTATCGAGTCCGGTAGAAGAACACTTGCTAAATTAACCACGACTAACGGAAGCCTGCACATTGTGCCAGTATATATAAACTGCAATAACTGGGAAAGCGATTTTGAGAACTTTCATTATTTCCTCACAGATGCTGGACTAGAAAATGTTATGGTTGTTGGTGATCTTAATGCAAGAATTGGTGATAAGCAAGTTTACGAACATAATCCGTATACTCTGCAGATGCTAAGAGAAAGCAGAACTTCGAGGGACAGTATATGCGATAATAAGGGGAAAAAACTGTGTGAAATGTGTGAAAATTTCGGCCTATCTGTAGTAAATGGCAGAACAGATAGCGACAGCTTCGGTGAATTTACTTATGTAAGAAATAATGGTCGTTCTGTAATAGATTACTGCTTAATTAAAGGACTATGGTGGCAATTAGTCAAAAACTTTAAAGTTGTCGATTTAATTTACTCAGACCATATGCCAATAGAAGTAAATGTCTCGGGTCAGTTTTTCAGAAACCCAGAACAGGTGGAATTAAAATTACTCCCCAAGCTGTTATGGTCAGATCGAAATACACATAAGTTTGCGCTAAATTTAGAGCACAAGTTATTTTTAATGGAAGACAACCAACTAACAGCTGAAAATGGAATTGAATTGTTATCTCATTGCATTAAAAGAGCGGCACAACCCATACAACCAAAACACTTACAGAGAAAATATAAACAAGCACTGCAAAGCGGCATGAAGAAGTGGAAGTCCGACAGTTATATACACGTGCAAATAAAGAGTTTAAATTACTTTGTAAACGTAAAAAAAATTTATATTACTCGGAGTTAGCTAACTCCTTAAGATCAGTTAATGATAGCAAAACGTATTGGAATATGTTGCGAAAACTAAATGGACAAAAGTTCACCAAAAGTACAGAGTTAAATTCTACCCAGTTGTCATGTTACTTCTCAACGCTATTGAATGCTCAAGTTGGGTATGCATTTAATTTCACCATATCAAATATTAAAATAGATTTGTTGGATAATGTAATCACTACAGAAGAAATTAATAAAATTTTAAGAAACAGCAAGTCAAATAAAGCGCCGGGAGAAGACAGAATCCCCATAGAGTACTATAAAAATGCACCGTCAAATTTTATCGCAAAGTTAGTAATGGTTTTTAACAAAATATTAGATGCCGGAACAACACCTAAAGACTTTAAAACTGCAATCATTTATCCGCTCTTTAAAAAAGGAAACCCGCAGATTGCGAATAATTATAGAGGCATTTCCTTTTTAAACTCCACTGTCAAATTATTCACAGGAATCCTTCTTGAAAGGCTAAAGGCTTGGGTAGCAGAATATAATTTACTCAGTGAATACCAGGCAGGATTTAGGAAAGGATACTCAACAATTGATAATATTTTTTGTCTTACAAGTATAGCCAAGCAATATACGGAAAAAGGAAAAAAGCTATATGCATTTTTCGTCGACTTTAAAGCAGCGTTTGATTCAGTAAACAGAAACGCTTTATTTTATAAACTCAGTAGTATTGGCATGTCCACCAAATTTATCAATGTTCTATCCAGTTTATATACCGAAAATCGTGCTGCTGTATGGGATGGGGAACACTTGTCAGAGTGGTTTGCTACTGATTCAGGAGTTAAACAAGGTTGCGTACTCAGTCCGATTCTATTCTCAATTTATATAGACGATGTGGTTACACATCTATCTGGAGGCGCATTTATAAATGGTGTAAATATTAAAGCTCTTTTGTATGCAGATGACATCGTTCTCCTAGCAGAAAGTCCCAATTGTTTACAAATTATGATAAATGAGCTACACAGTTACTGTAAGCTATGGG